ATCAGACAGGACAGAATTAGCACCCTCATTTTTATGATAATATTGTTAATTTAATGCATGGCTTGAAGTTAGACTTCAAAGTGAATCAGAAAAATATGCCTTCTCTCTCTTGTCAGAGACATCTCTCTTCATGCACCAGTGGTTTGACCTTACATTTTAGCTTCGAATGCACAAAGTCACTCTCATATTTCAACTGTCCTTTTATAATTCAATCATTTAGTTCATCGGTCTTAGACAGATTTTGTTAATACCCTGCCCATGAAAGCTAAAACAATTCTTAACATTATCTTTTCATGTTTATTCTCTGGAGAGACCTGCATTGGAAGCTTTTCGATATAATATATAAGCTGCATTTAACAAGGAACTTAATACAAACATGCAAAAATGGCTGGAATGGCCAAGGAAAGCCTTTTCCGCTATTTAAATCTCCCTCCTCCCTACCCTATGATGGCACTGAAAATCAAATGGCAATGATGAATTATATGTGTACAAGCAAAAACCTACAATGCATGAGGCCTTCCAGCACTGAAAATCAAGATTGCGTTCTATACTTTCTCTCTAAAACACCGCAACATCTCCTTAAACACCTATCCAGCAAGCAAGAGACAGCGAGCAGTGTAATGAAGGGTGAAATGATAATGTCCTCTCTCGTACCTGGAATCCAGCCCACAAGAACAATGGACTCAGCCAGATTGGCAGGCACTGTGGATGGAGTTTCAACTATCTCAACCCCTCGCACTTAGAGCAGCCTGCAGTGGGGGTCCCCCTCTAGACAGAGGCGAGTGGCCATTCTAAAGAAATTGAAGAAAAACTTACGCCGTATTCCTGGAGCAATTTTGCCACTGTGAAAACAGGAGGTGATGGAGAAAACTAAAACAAAACACCATCACAATTTGGAAAGGCAAAATTGGTGAAATACACTTAGGGTTGGGAGAGAGGATTAAAGGGAATGCAAATGAAGATTTCCCAATTACAAATCTATTTAGGAACCTGAAAATGTTGGTGTTATGGACTGAATGTTTGTATCCCCCCTAAATTACTATGTTGAAGCCCTGACCCCAATTGTGGTGGTATTTGGAGATGGGGCCTTGGGAATATAATTAGGGTTGGGTGAGGTCCTGAGGATGGGGTCCTCATGATAGGTCCTTATAAGAGGAGATATGAGAGATTGGTCTCTCTCGTTCTCTCTCTATGAGCACATACAGGGAAAAGGCCATGTGAGCACACAGAGAGAAGGTGGCTGTCTGCAAGCCAGAAAAGGAATCCACACTAGAAACCAAACCATTCTTGACTTTGATCTTGGACTTTCCAGACTCTTGAACTATGAGAAAAAAAATTTCTGTTGTTGAAGCTACCCAGTCTATGGTATTATGTTATGGAAGATGAAGCTAATACAGTTTCTAAGTGTGGAAACACTATAATCTACTTAGCAGACAGTCCAACAATTCCTATGTGCATGCCCTTTAGCGCAGCAATTTCACTTCTAGATTTTATTCAATAGGAGCACACCCAACCCTACAAAAATATATGCACCTGTCCATTCCCTGCAACATTCTTGAGTAGAAAAGAGATGAATACAGCATCATATCCAGCAAAGGGAGACAGGTTAAACAATTAATGTCAACCATAGGTGACAGAATGCCCTGCTCGTCAAATACACGTGATTACACATCACCACCCTCCTTTTCCTTCCTTT